CTGGCCACGCATGTCTCTACGTAATCATCACAGTATGGTCTTATGGCGAACGACGTTGGCTGAAACAGGCCAATGGCCTTGAAGCTGATGATATAAAGATACCAAGTAATTCTATAGGACCTTCACTCCATGTCGTTTCATCCATTCACACGTGTATATATCACAATGGATACTAGAACTCCACCTCGCCAACGCCAAGGGGAAAGATAGGAAAGGCATTCAACTTTTTTGCAGATTTCTTTTGCTTCTGAGTCTGGATTGATGGCTTGTAATCATCCGCTCCACATGTGAAAGTCCACGTCCTCTTGCTTGTAATGGTCTGCGATAAGACTTGAGAGATGATCTCTTGAGTGTGTTCCCCTGTAGTCATGTTAGTAAATAAAACAACAAATTATCATCAACTTACAAGTTCGTAATGTATGTGTCAATCAGCTCTGGTGGAACAAGCTCTGTGATGGCAGTTCGGACCTCGACACTGTTCACCATCTGTCCATCCGCAAAATTGACAAAGCTAGCAGAGTCTCCCCACTCAATCAAAGACTCCTCGTTGAAGGGGTTCTCTGGGCTGAGCTTGTACACACCGCCGAGGACAATGACTGCATTTCCTTGCTCCTTGGCAGCCCGTGCGATCGCTGCAGCGCCGGCATCGGCAACAACACCACCGTTGGCCACAATAGCCCGCGCGCCGAGGATAACCTTGTCCACTCGGGACATGTATGCCATCAACCCTCCGTTCATGATGTTGATTACTGTGATGCCAGCAGAAGCAAGCTTCTTTCTGAAACCAGCATGTGGAACTTCAGTGGTCTGCTTCTTGGGGGGTTCGGTAGCGATAAGCACTGTAAATCGACGTTTAAGAGCCGCGCGCAGGATGAATCGTTCGACGGTGGGCGAAGGCTGATGGACGAGCACGTAGTCTCCGGGGTGAATCTGGACCTCGGCCAGGGATGCAATCTGGTCATCCACTTGGCTAATCTCGTCCTTGATCTCCTCAATGCCGTCAATAACCTCGGATCTCAAAGCGTGGACTTGAGTGGAAGGAGCCTTCCATGAAGGGGTAGATGTCCCTGAGAGTCCCACGGGGGATCCCTGGCTGCTAGTTGTGAAATCGTTGGGAGAAGACACTGAGAGGAGGTGGAAGAGAGTCTTTGGGACGTTAACGGAGCTGTAGGAGGACAGCGGGCCAGGTCGGGCAGGAGGGGGCCTGGCGCTGTTGGTGATATAGTCGCCAGCGGAATCTTGCTTGCCATATGTCGATGGTGGCCACTGGTGGGCAAGGGCTTCTGGGTGTGACACGGCATCGGTCGGTGTCATCTGGGCCTCACTGGGGGTTTCGCTGGCACCATCATTCCTATCCTCGGCTGCTTCGTCGCGAATGAGGCCTAGAACTCGGCGCACGATGTTTGCAATCACAAGCTCCTTGGGCTGAGCCTCCACCAGTCGACGACCGATGCGAGAGACGTTATCAATCAGGGTATCGACATTGAACCATTTTGATCGGGCGACGACCTGAAGTAGGATATGTGCGGTAGCGACTGCGCAAGGTTCGGAGCCCTTGATCTGGCGTCGCTTTAGGAGGCTGAAGACATGACAAAAGTTTAGTAACGAGCATTGTTTTAGGAAGGGTATTTTTTTGGTTGGTGCGGCTCACGCGATGAGGCTCTCAACAGAGGATTCTAATGCCTGACCCTTGAGAGACCGGAGATATTTCTCAAGATCGGGCGCGTAGCCCGTAGATAAAGGAGCCATCTCTAAGTATTTGTGAAGGATTCGCAGTCTTGTTTGTGACCGTAGCCGTAGCTAGCGCGCAAGCTGGGGTATGTTCCTGTGTAGTGTCTACAGTCGCGGGGTGCTCAATGGAGGGGTGATTTGTGAGTTTCGGCACAAATATTCGCAGTGACCAGATGCTGTTTTGCTTTGAAAATGTTGGAATATTCTTTGTAAGAACTGGAATAAAAGATGCCGTAAGTTTGCTTTGCTGATGCTCGATGCGGGTGCCGTGAAACAGACAAACGATTGTACTGCTTTGTTCGGATTGGGGTGATTTGTGAATATGAGTCAAACCAATTCCTCCCACCGGAGCCTTTTTTTGCGCAAGGCTGACGGTTCTCTTGGAAGGTGGGGGCTGTTCAGCCTCGTCCCTCGGTGGGGTCCTTGCCCCGAGTCGATTGAAGCCATGACGACAGGGGAGCAGGGGCCGAAAGATAACGAACTCTATCAAAACCAGGACGACTCGAGTTAGAACAATTACTCAGAAAACATCCATCACTCACAACTTGGAAATATGCTGGGTTATGCGTCTCTTATGAATTCGACTTGACTGTCTAAGTAATGAACTCACCGCTATGATCGATGAGCTGTCATGTCATAGTCTAGGAGGTACCAAAGTATGGCAATTGATGTGCTGTCAATACTCAATACAGTAATCTCCTAGTCTTTCAAGTTTCAATTATTCCGAAAAGGACTGAAGGTGGATGAGCCAAGAACGAGCCACACACTCCATAGTATAGTACGCGTATACAGTTCGAAGTGTAGCCAGGCTGCCAGGTACTTTAAGGCCTGTCTTTTCCAGAGTATAATGGCAGCATTATGAGACCCCTATATCATGACTGGCTCCTTATATCCTCGCTTGCCCTAATTTGAAGACTCACAGGGGGCTCTGTAACAAAAAGTTGTCCTTGAAACACAGGGTGCAAAAATACTACTCCAAGGGTCTGCTCTAAAACTCCATAAGCTGACTCACTAATTTTGTCATCTATGCTTCCAGTGGCCAAGTTCCCTAATGCCTTGTGGATGCCCTAGATTGGCGATCTTGACATCGACTTCACATGCAAGTAAGCAAGCAGAACATAAGATCGAACGGCTTGACCGATGAGCATGTGTTGAATACGAAAACGAACAAGGAGATCCGAGATCCACAAGTGGTCCAGGTTGAACTATTTTACCCTTGCTCGTAACCCTTGTAGCAATGAATAATGGACGTTAACTCATGACAGAAAACCCGTCGTAGGGTGATAAGGAGTATGAACGTTCAGGGACGGTTTAGCATGATATCTGAGTTGAGATGGCTTTGATGTCTGATATGGAAAAGGCTCAGGTTTTGAGTCCCTGCTGTGCAGTATAGCTTCTCGTTGGAAACACCTTCCATAGATTCATCATGTCACTGACTATGCCCTACTGGAGTGATTGTCCTCTAGGAATTTCGTATTCATTAAACATATTTAAGCATAGGTTAAGAGTTTTACTGCCCGGAACTGCTGTGGGAAACAATCCTACAGGCGAGTTGTTTTGATCTGCTATACATCATTTCGGTAAACCCTCCGGACTTGTAAGTCAACGCTCGTGCGTCTTTCTAATAATACTTCCATGAAAGGGTCATGGGCTTGCTGCTGGTAGTCAGAACCGTACTTTATATAGATACAGAGTAGAATTGAGTAGAAGAACCACAGCTGGAGTTTGAGATAGTCTTGTTGCAGTGACAGTACCAGTATAGCATTCTTTTGTTAGTTACCCAATCAACTCTTATGGTGATGTTTATTGTCTGGGTCGGTCTGGAAGAGTTCCATATTGATCCCCTGTCACTGCGGTACGTGCGCATAGAACGGGTATAAAAACTGACAACGGGTGCCCTGGAGAACATTTTAAAAAGAACTGGGTATGGTTCCTTTATGAAGCATACAAGATAAGATGCAGATACAGACCTATCAATTGAGGAGTCCAGTGGAATTTGGGGCAATAAATATCCGTTATCATCATGAGACAGTGTCATTTATGATAGATTCCTGTGATTGATTAGAGCATACGTGAGAGATGCCCGGTGAGCCGCGGCTTCCCAACCCCCTGCAACGCTACAGTCGGGTATAATGACAGGGGTATGGGGCGCTGGACTGGCCTGAAAAATCGCCGCTGTCCATCATTAGGCCCTCCAGAACCTCCAGGGCTGCCAAAGTCCCCAGCATGGATTGGATTTCGGCAGCTAGAATCCCCAACACGTGAACCATCTCTCAACCATCATCCGTCAATCGAGCCACCCACCACCAACCAAGTCAAATCAGATCAACTGCACTCACTCCCCTCTGGTGTAGTCTTCTTCTTTATTTGATACTGTCAGCTTTTGATCGTTTGCTCATACGCTCTTTCTTGTATTTCGCGCATGTGCAGATTCGGAGGCTTTTCTCTTCTTTCATCATCAAAGACCCGTCGATAGCCATAAACTCATCGATCCATTTCTTTGACAGTAGCGTTCCCAGCAGGGCTGCACAGCTTATTTCTGACGGGTCTTTAGTTAGTCGAACCCGGCCTGTTATTAGTCGACACAGGCCAACAAAGTTCCCCCCCCCCCCCCCCCCNCCCCCCCCCCAGCTCCCCTCTCAACGCCACGAAAGACAGAACACTTTTGTTTGCTCTACTGCAGTATCCATCCGTATTGTACCTACATATCATTGATTCCATACAACCTGCTTTGTCTTAGCGGTACAACCACAAAAGAAGCGACTAAACCTTTCTGACCATTTGAGACATCTGTACTTTTGGATTGAGTTAAGATTGTATCCAAAACTTCCCTTTTTTCCCTCCTCCCTAGGATCGCAAGCCAAAATTGTACATTTCCCTGGCATTTCCACCATCGCGATTCCACTGCGCCCCTGGACATCTGCCTTTTTCGCTTCGCCGCACCTGATGCATTCTTGACATTGAATCCCTTCGTTTCAGCGTTTTTGTCAGATTACATCTTTGTCGTCGACTATCAACCTACAACCTCTACTTCTTTCAGCGCATTCGACCAGACCACCGGCAACGACGATCGGTTCCTCGGATTACCTGCCGTCTCTCCGTCCTTTCCATCCCGACCGACCCTAACGTGTTCACACACCCTTTCCAAGGCGGAAGCTAAGCCTGCAAAACTTGTTCGGAGCAATTCGACATTCTACAAAACCTCTTGACTCTTGCCTGTTCGTCCGCACAACGATCATTCACCTCATGGAATGCTATAGCTCGTGGCGATGAACTCTCTCAACATCTTAACGGCCCGTGTGTCGCCGCCCCCGAGTCCGACTCAATCACGATCCAACAGCATAGGTTCACTTGTAGGCCTGGCCTCCGAAGACGATCACCAGCATGGCGACCACCGATCTTCCAACGAGAACGAGACCGAGCCCTTCCCTCAGGATACATTTGACGAATCGCGATTCGAAACTGAGAAGCCTAGCGAGGAAACCCCATTGCTAGGTGATACAGGCGAGAATCAGACGAGGAGCTCATGGTACCACTCTATTCCTCGGCGAATCGCTTCCAGCATCATTGGTTCTCTTCGATGGGTTCTTGCGACTTTGGCTTCGCCAGGTGTATATCTCATTGCTTGTTTCTACGACGAGTATGGCAATTTCGCACCCTTCTCGCAACTTGGTAAATTGTTTGGACTGGGAGGTGGGAACAAGGCTATGGAAGAGCCAGGCCAGGTTTCTGAGAAGGATTATGGTAGAACTACAGGATATCGGAGGCTATCACCAAAACCCAGGCATACTTCATCTTCTTCGACGTCATCGGGTCTCTCATCGGAATCGGAATCGGAAGGATCGCGCTCCAGCAGTCGGCATGCTCGGTCTAAATCGCTACAGCCTGCAGAGGAAACAGGTCCTGCTCGAAGGTCAATCAGAATTAAACTCAACAGCGACGAAGATCTTAGGCAACGGAAGCACAGGAAAACGCAATCGGCAGTCGCGCGAACCAAGGCAAGCGATCTAGGCAGCGGCGACCTTTCGGCACATCTCAAATCTCCAACTTCTCCTATCGCAGCGCTCACCAGGTACCCCAAGACTCCAGCACCGCCTCGACCTTTGATTCCGCGCAGACAACCCTCGTACATCAATCTCGAACCACCTTCGAGCCCGCAAAAGACTTTGATTCTCGATCTGGACGAAACTCTGATACACAGCATGTCCAAGGGGGGCAGGATGAGTACCGGACACATGGTTGAGGTGCGCCTAAACACGACATACGTGGGGGTTGGTGGACAGACATCGATTGGGCCGCAGCATCCGATCTTATACTGGGTTAACAAGCGACCGTACTGCGACGAGTTCCTGAGACGAGTTTGCAAGTGGTACAATTTGGTTGTGTTCACAGCATCAGTACAGGAGTACGCGGACCCGGTAATTGACTGGCTGGAGACGGAAAGGAAGTTTTTCTCGGCACGATACTATCGACAACACTGCACATTCCGACAAGGCGCTTTCATCAAGGATCTGGCCTCGGTCGAATCGGACCTGAGCAAGGTGATGATTTTGGACAACAGTCCGTTGAGTTATCTGTTTCATCAAGGTAAGAAAGCTATATCAGTCAAGTTTATTTGAACTGGCATTGACAAGATGATTTTCAGATAATGCGATTCCTATTCAGGGCTGGATCAATGACCCGACGGATACGGACTTGATGCATCTGGTGCCACTATTGGAAGGATTGCAGTATGTACATGATGTTAGGGCGCTGTTGGCCCTGCGGGGTGGTGAAGACGGGCAGCACATGGCATAACTTATGATATTTAATATGGAGTCAATAATGAACGGTTTCCACTTCTCATGGCATCATACTATACACAAAACCCGACCACTTGGTATTGGAGATGAAGTTGGCATGACAATTGAACAGTATTGGTTTAGTTTAGGGTAAGGACTTTGACACATTTTGTCTACCCTACAAGCAACAGCTATTTCGGCACTCGGTTATGTTATTCCACTGTGAGACGATCGAGTTCATTCACTCGTGCTTAGAAATGGTGCTGTCAGCGAAATTGTGAATTCTTTGTGTGCGCCTTGTGATACAAGCACCTGTACAATGCTTTTATACACATCCGTAGACAGATATTCAAATTAAACGATCAGGGTCCATCCACAACCACACTTTGATCCGTCATGGCAGCCATAATTTGAATACTCGAATAATATCCAATGGATCTTCTTCAGGGACAGGGTCTGATGTCAATGGCATGTGGTGGAAGTCTGAGACAAAAAGTGCAGATGCAGATGTTGTCCGACTTGGTTAGTCCAGGACGGCTGTTCACGGGAGACCAGGACCGGCTTCGGCTTTGCAAAGATGGATGGGATTGTTGATCGAGTTAATAACCAGGAAGTAAAAAAACAAGCTTTGGACTGGCTTTGGTTCCGCGGATCTTGTAAACATCAGTCCTACGTAAGAGTACCTAGCTTGTCTATAGTAAGGGCACAGCTTGGGATGGTCCTGATTGCGCAATGAATCAATTCCATTTTGTAAAATTACTAGGGTTCGAAAGAAACAAAAATAATAAACCAAGGGAATGGAATAGTATTAGATACAAATGACGCTGTGACACCATCATTACCCGCGCAACCGCCTTCACGCAGTTTTGTGTAAGAAATTGACTAGGTAGGTATGGTATGATCCGGAGCTGTTGTGTGATGTGCAGCCCCCCGCTTAAGACTTGCTTTTGCATGCATGCATTGCATTGCTACTGATGAATTGAATTTCAGACATCCATCCAATCCTTGTCACCGAGAAACTTGACTTGTCTTGCTCTGTATGTACCTAGCTCTAGCTCGGCTCTGGATTCGAATTGTCCCAAGCTTTCCCCATCTTTTTGCCCCGCTAGAACAGGAGATCAAGCTCCTGAGCTCCCCTCCTCGTAGGTTGAAATGCGATGGCAAGTATGTATCTGTAAGCTTGGTTGCAAAATCGTAAACGTCAGATCAGGTACAGTTGTTCAGTCTAAACAAAGTTGGCAGTGGAGAGTCAAGTTGATTCATCCCCGCAGAGAGAGATATTTCTATTGGGTATTACTGTTACTGAATAGAGCTTCTTAGCTGGTGTCTCGTCTCACCAACCGAATGGTGACATCATCACATCTGGTGACGACACTCACAAAAATGAGGGAGAACGGCTGGGGAGAGACAGCTAGAACCAGGTCCAGGCAAGCCACCCGGACTCGGACTGGGCTTGAGACTTGATTTGCTTGGCTTGGTTGGTCCTCCATGATGCGAATGGAAAAATGGGTGCTTAGATCGAGATCCGTGACGGTTTGCAAAGTACAAATACTGGGAAGGATCCAATGCCAGCTCCAAGTGTGACCATCCCTCTCTCTCCAATCGAAGCTAATAAATAAATTCATCTCTCTCAACACACAACAACACAACTTCTTCTCCTTAACAACCACAAAAACCATCCAAAATGTCTCTGCACTACCTTCCTCCCGTCAAGCCCTCCGCCATCGCTCTGGGCACTGCTTTCAACCACGGTGTTGAGCTCGCCGTCCTCGCCCCCATCTTCGGCCAGACCTACCAGCGCGCCAAGTCCTCAAACACCAAGGAGGAGTTCATCCGCTCCAAGGAGGCTTCTGGTGCTGCCCTCGCCTGGGGTTCTTCCCTGACTGGCTCTGCCCTCCAGGCCTACGGTGTCGGTGCTCTCATCAACGCCACTGGCACTCTCACCTACAAGGGCGCTGCTTACCTCGGCGCTCTCATCTTCTTCGCCACCTCTGCTCCCGGCGTAGGTTTTCTCTCTCCCTTCCACGAAACAATAGCTAACATCGTTCCCAGTACGTCTCTCAGATCTTCGTCGAGAAGCGACCTCTCGACACCGTCGGCGTCAGCCTGGCTACCAAGCTCGTTGAGACCCTCGGTCTCTCCGTCTTCCTCACTTGGTGGGGAACCCGAACCAACCCCTTTGAGTAAGGGACTTCTCTTATGACGAATGTTTTTAATCTCCCCATGTTCGGGATGGGTTTTCATGAATTTGTTATACCGAGGCCTCGGGCCCGTGTGAGATAGTAATAGGCACGGGACATGTACCTATAAGAAAGCCAATAAGGCAAATAATACCAAACAAATGAACCATACACAAGTCACATACTATCATGTGAATAAAGTATTGTCGTAGATCTTCGGTGATGATCGTACGTGGGAAGTTCCGGGATGGTGCATGTGTCGATCGACCTAAGCTATTGCGAGATAGCTTCACCTTCGAGTGAGCAGTAGAAAGTTGACCTCCCAAGTCTTTGGTTATAAAACTAAATAGCCTGAGAAGTAGTTTTGGTCTAGCACAAAGTGACCTACTCATTTCGTCTTAAGGTTTCAGCGGCCGACTTTTCTGATACCCTGAGGGCTTTGTTAGAAGATGCCTGGGAACTGTAGAGTAGAGCTGAATATAATCATAAAGGCGTACTCGTGCGAAAATAAAGTTAAATGATGTCTGAATAATCGAGTAAGCTAAATATTATTGCAAGTCGATGGTCGAGCAAAGGTCCATGCCTGGTCGCGTGCCATGGTTTGACTGCTACCTGTCGACCGGAGAGAGTATCGCGCAGCGCAGTCGTCATCACCGAATTTCAAGCTCAAGGTCTGCTGGACATTTGAAGGGCTTGTTGTAATCATATCCCATTTTTAATGCAATAGCTAAACCTGAACGCCGCCAAAGCCCTCATCCTGCCGCTGTTCTTGGGCTGGGATCTTTCTGGTATAAATACACCCAGACTTGTTTCAACATCTCTTTCTCTTCTTGCCCTTCTTGTTAGTGGCATCCTTTCCTAACACAGCACTAGCACTAGCACTCGCACTCTCTTGTATCCGACGGTCATCATTCTAGTACTTGGTTCCGCCCTTGACCCAGAAAGCCTGCTTGCCGTACTCCTTCTGCACGTACTTGACGAGCGAAGCGTAGCTCTCGCCAAACGCCTCACCGTCGTCCTCACCGTCCTTGTCAGCGGACTTGTCCTTGGCCTTCTTGCCCTCAGGCTTCTCCATGATCATGACAACGGATGTAGGTCGCTTTGTCTTGGCAGCGGCACCGAGCTCAGCGCGCGACGTGACGAAGATGAAGGGAACGTTGTGGTCCTCGCACAGAACGGGGAGGTGGGAGATGACGTCCATGGGGGAAATGTCACCAGCAATGATGACAACACCGGGGAAAGAGGTGTTACCAGGACCGGAGGGGGCAGACTTTCGGAGGGTCTTGACAACCTCCTTGACACCGCGCTTGAGGGTGTTGTTCTTGGCAGCTGTAGTACGAATGTTAGCAGGTTGTTTCTAGCGGTCAATGTCTCACGGTGGTCGCATACCCTTGCGAATGGTCTTGTAGACCTTCTTCATGCCCTTGTCATCTGCAACGGGGATGGCAAAGGGAACGACGACACGCTCAAGAGGCAGCTCAGCAGCCTTATCCTCCTCAACATCGGAGTCGTCGTTCTCAGCAGCGGCAGCGGCGACGGGAGCATCCTGCTGGACCTTCTCCTCGAGGGCAGCGGCGAGCTTCTCCTTCTTATCCTTCTTATCCTTCTTCTCCTTCTTGGGCTTGGAGATGCCGGACTCGTCGCTTCTCTTCTTGTCCTTCTTCTCCTTCTTATCGGGCTTCTCGGCGGCCATTGCTGCGGTTGTCTCGAGGAAGCTTCGTCGAAGTTATTACTTTTGGTTTTTATTAGATCCGCTGGTGTAGCACGCAAGTTGTGTGTGCCAATTGATGATTATGCGGGACGGATGGTTGATCGCAAAGTTTCCGTGTTTTCTTTACACTCCACTGTCCTCGAAATTTTCTAAACTTTTTTTTCTTGAGAGCTGTAGCGCCGGGACTCGGTAGTACGTTCCGCCGGTTCCGCCACTTTTCAGACCACGTGATTTGTGTAGAAGACAGTCCAATCAGATACGGAGCAATGACTATTACCAGTGGATACAGAGATTCTGAGATCATGGAGAGAGATAAATCACTTAATCATGAGATTGCGGTCGCAATTGATAGACGAACATCAAGTTAATAAAGAAATATTGTGACAAATGTCTATTGCACCTCCTGATCTAGGTATTGATGATGTACAATGAGTCCAGAGGACCTACCCCAAAACATCCGCCATGGTTTTGCTGCCAGAATATAACAAATTTACTCCTCCTCGTCACCGAACTCGGCACGACCAGCCTTGGAGTTAAGGTACTCGCTTCTGTAAACCGAATCAGTATTTGGTCCTGCTAGGCACTGCGTATGAACATACCGCTCGATGGCCCAGTTCATCATCCAGTAACCGGCAACCATGGGAGGGAGCCAGAAGAAGATCTGGGACTTGGTGCGGCGGAAAGTGTTGAAGATGGCATCGTGGGAGGCGCCGGCCCAAGGGTTCTGTCGGTTGGCGGACAGACCGTAGGTGATGATACCTCGCTGCTTCTCACCACCTGATACATAGTTAGCCTCCTACTTGGTTTCTGATGTCGGTTTCCTCCAAGATTGTCTATCAATGCATGTTGATGTTCATTTGTGCGTATGTGTAAAATTTTGGCGTTATGTTGGCCCAATTGTGATCCTCCCATTCATCGTCATCAATCCGGTTGTCCGTCGCGTTCATCGATCCAAGTCCAATTCGTTCGCATATCGAAAGAGCAATCACTTACCGAAGTGGCCCCAGTTACCAATGTAGCTGTATAAGAAAAACGTCAGCAATTCGTTCTACATTAACTGTAAAATTTCGAGATAGCCTGGGTGTTGTTGGTCCGGCCATTAACCAGAGGAAAAGCCGCACGCAACAGCACCATCAATTGCCCTCGCTGGATCGCATTTCACGTACTGTCCGTTCTTAGGGTCGGCAGCGCCGCTTCGGAGCATCTGAGTCGGTCTCATATTGACGGTTTTGGCACGGGAATTCGAGTCTCGTGAGGGTGGTTTTTGGAGTCGTCGGTTGGAGGCAAAGGCAGAAAAGGGCCACTTGAGGATTTCTCGGGTCGGGTTGGATTGGAAAGCGCAGAAGCCAGGCTTTCCCCCATCAGCCGAGCTTTCCCGATATAGTTTAGCGGGTACAAGACAGCCCACTCTGAACGTCCAACCAGCAAATACTGCTAGGAATTGGACTAAGAGACAGAGCAGAGCTTCAAATCATCATCGCCGTCCGTTGACTCCGAAAAGCTTCAAAGCTACGACTCCATCACCCATCGCTCCCTGGGTTTTCCGACCACCATTTTTGACCGTCAATCTTTCACCCGCAAGAAAGATTTAATTGCAATATTTCAAAATGGCTGGCGCTGCACGAGCCCTCGGTTTCATGTACCGCATGGCGGTCCCCGCCTCAGCTGCTGTCTTCCTAGGCAGCCAGGCTCTATACGACGTCAAGGGAGGAACTCGGGCTGTTATATTTGACAGACTGTCTGGTGTCAAGGAGGATGTTATCAACGAGGGAACCCATTTCCTCATTCCCTGGCTGCAGAAGAGCATCATCTTCGATGTACGCACCAAGCCCAGGAATATCGCAACTACCACTGGTAGTAAGGATTTGCAGATGGTCAGCTTGACACTGAGAGTGTTGCACCGACCTAATGTCAAGGCCCTTCCCAAGATCTACCAGGTAAATCTAGAACCACAAGATTTGTAGTTCAACATCATGACTAACTCTTATAGAACCTCGGTGCTGATTACGATGAGCGAGTCCTCCCCTCTATTGGTAACGAAGTCCTCAAGGCCATTGTCGCCCAGTTTGATGCCGCAGAGCTCATCACCCAGCGAGAGGCTGTTTCCGACCGTATCCGCAACGACCTCACCCTCCGTGCCGCCGAGTTCAACATCGCCCTCGAGGATGTCTCCATTACCCACATGACCTTTGGCCGTGAATTCACAAAGGCCGTTGAGCAGAAGCAGATTGCCCAGCAGGATGCTGAGCGAGCACGATTCATCGTCGAGCGTGCTGAGCAGGAGCGTCAAGCCAACGTTATCCGTGCTGAGGGTGAGTCCGAGTCCGCCGAGGCCATCAGCAAGGCCATCCAGAAGGCCGGTGACGGCCTCATCCAGATCCGAAAGATCGAGGCCAGTCGTGAGATTGCCGCCACTCTCTCATCAAACCCCAACGTGGCCTACCTACCTGGTGGAAGCGGAAAGCAGGGTGGCCAGTACCTGCTGTCAGTTGGCAGAGCTTAAAGTAATGGATTGTATGATGGAAAGGATGTTGAGGAAATGAATGGGAACTCCCCGCTTATCGTTGGTAATGAAAGTATTTATTCATGAGCGCCAACTATGTATTTCTAGAACGAGACTGGATGGGAAATTCAACCCTATCTCACAATGTATAATCGCCTCTGGCTCTTCCGTTCCATGCAGCTTTCGTATTCTCCATGCTCCATGACCTGTGACCTTTTCCCTTTCCGAATGACTGAAGTAGCACAATCCAATATTGGTTTGGCCGCTTTGTAAGCCGTCCTCAGGGTATCAGAAAAATTAACCGCTGGAAGCATATCAGACGAAATTAGCAGGTCACTTTATGACCCTTAGGCTATAGTTCTTAGACTACTTATTTTTATACTCTAAGACTTAGGAGGCTTTGCTTCCCACTACCTATGCTGGGCAATTACCATGACCTATAAACTCCAATGCTTCAAATTATCGCTACCAACGCTTTCCACCCGTTATCACTTGATAGCCCACTCGTTGTAGTGAAACCCTAGCCGAGACTTGCAAGCTCTTCGTTGGATAATACTACAGCCTCACCGATAGAAGCCGGTTTATGCCTCGATGAACGCCTCGGTCAATCGTGCACCTTTCCCAGGAGCCACAAAATTACCATCAACCAATTTCCAGCCATTTCGTTGCATGTCCATCCACTCATTCTTAATCTTGAGACGGACGAGATCTCCTGCTGCCCTGGCATCTTCAGCAGAATCGTGACCCAGCATTTTGGGACCTGTCTCCTGCTGGATCTTACGGTTGAGGTGAACATCCATGAGCATCTTCAAACTGTAGCGGTACGGCAGACCACCTTGGTGAGGGAAGAGCAGCACCGTATCTATCAATGTAGGATGCACAATACGAACCGAGTTGAGATCGTTTTCCAAACCGTGACCTATCAGGGGTGTGGTTGGGGAGATGAGAGAGAAGAGCAGATCTCGCGCAACTTCAGGGGATGAAACGATCTTGAGCTGTTTCTTCTTAGGCTTCAGCTCGCCGTCCTCACTTACGTCGTCGCTGCTGCTCTTAGCCGGCTTTGTCGATTCGTTCGCGGACCACGATTCAGCCTTGGCAAGGTCTTCTGGCCATACACCCGAGTATCGTGAATTGAGGTCTAGGATCTCTCCTAGTGGTCGGACAAGAACATCTAGCAATTCCTCGCCTGTCGGCCAGGAGGTTGCGGTCAGGCGAATGAGCTCCATTCCATAGACTGTATAGCCCATCTCACAGTCGAAAGCTACTGCTCTGTCCGTAGGGGCAAGGGGGTTCTCGGGTGTTTCTGCAAAGTTGAGTATTGATGCTAGTCGTTTAGGATCCGAAGTTTTGAATACGTGATGATCGCGTGTGAAGCAACCCACCGAATCTCCGAGTTCCTGCCCACAGCACTGGAATCGTTTGGGTTGCCTGGTTCTGTCGCCCAAGGCTTTGGGGGCGATGAAAGTCTTGCCCCAGTGAAAGGTGCATGTTCCTCCAGAAGTGAGCGCGCCGTCTTCTTCGCGTCTTCCCGGAAAGACTTCAAAGCGCTGTGAACATCGATCGCATTTCTCCCATCCTGCAGCTGTCTCGATGCCCTGTCTTGCCTTTTCGATCTCTTCTTGGGAGGGTACCGCAGAGACATAGCCATGATTTGCCAATCCGTTGATGGGAGTTAGGAGGCGTTTTGCAATCTCAAGTTCTTGAGCAGGCGTCAGACCAGTCTTGATCTCTTTCGGTTGTTCAGAAGGATCCTTTCCACTAGATTCGAGCTCCAACTTCTTCCGTTCTTCTTGTCGCTTGGTCTTCCACTGATCTACCTTCATCCTCTTGTACTGCATAACCTTGTTCTTCATGACGTTTGAGTAGACTGCGGCTTTGTGAACAGCGACATGCTCTTCCGCATCCAGTGTACGCACAATAAGCTCTTGTTCTGACAGGAGGAGGTTCACCTCATCCTTCCTGGCGTTCTTTTTCAGTTCTTTGTTTAATCGAGTAAATTCTTGGTGAAGCATTCTAACGAGCTTGAGTCGGATATCATGGCTCGCAGGCATGCTTTTGAGGAGTCTGGGGTTTAGTGATTCAGCCTTCTTGGGTTTTGCTGGAGCAGATTTCTGAGTATGCGGTGGCCGTGATTCATTACTGGACTGGTTTGTTTTGGCGACTTTTGAGGAAGCTTTTGAAGCGTTGTCCTGAGGGTCGATTTTTCGTTTGAGTGTTGAGGGGAAAATTTGCCGTTTGTTTTCTACCTTTGAGCCGCTTCTAGAAGCTCCTGTTGTACTTTGTCCAACATCTTGAGATGTCTCTGGGGATTTGGGTGGATTAAAGGGGTCCGTTCTCACGCGCTTGCGTGCTGCCTCTTGGTTTTCTGCTGCCTTCTTATCTGGACCATTTGACGAGGTTTTCAATGATGGCGCTTCCGGAGCAGATGGAGTCTCGTTAGGATGTCCGAATATGCAATGAAACGCCGTGCAATCATTGCCTTTGGGGCAGGGTATGTGTTTCAGAGACAAACTCATGATGATGACAGAGTTGGTGTTGATAGCCTAGTGGGTAGCAGAAGAATTGACCTCTAAGCTTGATGACAGCTTTGGCGGAGGATGTTGTGTGTATGATTGCGGTCATGTGATGTGATGATTGAGAAAACAGTTCTTGATGGTGAATGAGTGAGATGAAGTTGAGTGAGTGAGTGAGCTTAAGTTTAGATATGTTTGGTAAAGCGAAAGGTGATAGGAGGTAACGATCCACTGAAATAACCTAGGTAGATGCGGAGAATGAGCACCGTACTGTGGTCAATGCACTAAAAAGAAAGTCTTTGTATAGTATATACGATTGGGAAGAAAGGAGTTAGAAGCTTATTTGTTCTTTGGAGTGTGAGAATGTATTACTTTGAAATCCCTTATTGATGAATGAATGTATTGAAGTTGAATGGAATGAGAAGCTGTAACAAAGCCACTAATTTAGAGCGGTTACTCCCTTGAGAAGCCCCACTGTAAAACTAAGCACCCTCTGTAATCTTTGACTGATAATAATCGTACAGAAGGCTTATTAGCCACGACCATTAACTGCCAGCCCAGAACTGCTTTGAAGTTATCATGATGAGAAAATAATAGTATTTTAACTATTGATCTGTCAAAGGGGTCTAGAGTGTATTAGGATAAGTCAATATGGTTTCTTTCTATGACAGAAACAGTCACATTCTCTTACATGACAATGCCATTGCCAGCTCATAGGCCAGTAGTAGGCACTCCACTACTACAATAGGTAGGCTACTGCTCGCTTTCGGATTTCCTGGCTTTCAACTCGTCATGATAGGAATTCAGCTTGCACAGCCAGTTTCGATGGTGCAGACAAGTGCCACTTATTAGTATCGATCAATTAACCAGAAGAGATCTTGGCCCCTTTTCTTGTCTAAAAAGGACAGATCTGACAGCAGCCGGAGTTCATATCTATCCGAGATAATCTTTGGCATTTTGAGTGGTGATAACTCCGCAACTATAAAGTCAAACTCAGCCTCTCCGGGAAGCAATCAGCAAAGCAAACTCAGCCCCGCGGGTTTAAGCATTTTGAAATACCGGGTCTTACTGGTAAAACGTCCCTACAAGGGCCTCTATTGTCGGCGTCGACGCTTGTCATCGATATTGGTGGGGGCTTTAACACCAGTTAACTCCGTGCCTCCGTTCCCTCTTACAAGGGCGGACTTGCAATCAGCCCGATACGTACGCAACCCGAAACTCCGTTGGGGGCGCATCTCCTGAGAAACCTCAACTAATTTATTCTTTTAAAAAGTATACAAGTGGTAACGTTGCCCTTGATACTTCCTCCCCATATTTCCCATTGATACTTTAACTTATTCATCATGCCTAAACCCGTTGTACTGGAAGACGTTACTGGAGGCAGTGTAAATGCAACCCATCTTTGTGTATTAGTCCACGGGGTAAGTAAATACTAAATCCTTCCACCCCGTCATCCCCTGACAATCGATTCTGGGACGTCATGGCTGACCACCTTTGTTATTACAGCTTTGGGGAAACCCATCCCATTTGCGCAATGTTGCTAAATCCCTTCGCGATAAATACTCTGAAGACGAATTATATATTTTACTTGCGAAACAGAACAGCGGCAACAACACTTATGATGGCATCGAGACCGGTGGCGAGCGCGTTTGCGCAGAGATTGAGGACGAGTTGAAAGAAATTGAAAGGAAGGGTGGAAAGATTACAAAGTTGAGTATCGCAGGATACTCACTTGGAGGTCTAGTGTCGCGATACGCAGTTGGCCTGCTTTATGCCAAAGGAGTTCTCGATCATCTTGAATGCATGGTAAGTTGCAATGTCGCCAGTAACTGGTGCCAGTGACAACGGATGAATGCTAACTTTCTCGTGTCAGAACTTTACTACATTCGCATCCCCCCATCTCGGTGTAAGAACACCACTGAAGGGCTGGCTCAGCAACATCTACAACGTTCTCGGCGCCAGAACACTATCCAAGTCTGGCCGACAACTATTCACGATCGATAACTTTCGCGACACCAACCGACCTCTTCTCGCATTGCTCGCCGACCCCGATTCCATTTTCATGTCTGGTCTGAAGAAATTCAAGCGTCGCACTCTGTATACGAATATTGTCAATGACCGAAGCGTTGTGCATTATACATCTGGCATTACCAAGACCGACCCATACACAGATCTCGAAAACGTCAAGCTCAATTACCTCAAAGACTATGATGGTGTTATCCTCGACCCCAACCACCCTGTGGCACCATCTCCCCAGGCTCAAGGTCAAGACACGCTATGGTCGGATTTTGAGTCTGTTAAGAAATGGATTAAGAACGTCCCTTTCATGCTGACGATTGGCGTTATAATCCCAATTGGTGTTGTTGTTTTCCTGGCCAACTCTGCCGTCCAAACAGTCCGCAGTGCCAAGCGAATCAAATTACACGAATCAGGACTCGCTGGTTTGAAGATTGAAGACTACCGCATGCCCTTACGAATCAAGGCGATCCAGGAAGAGGTGGAGCAAGCATACGAGGTCCTCAACGGTGCTCAGGACCAGCAATACCTGGCATCCGACTCGGACGATGATTTGGCCTACGACGTTGAGGATCGTCAATTGCTCAGGAGAGAGCGCAGAATGTCAACAGCAGAGCAACCAACGCTGGCGTTGACTCCTGAACAGTTCGAAATGATTGAGAACTTGAACACGGTCGGCTGGCGCAAATTCCCTGTCCATATTCAGAAGCATCGACACAGTCACGCAGCTATCGTGGTGCGCATGGATAAAGAGAGTTTTGCTGATGGCTGGGTTGTTCTAAGACACTGGGCCGATAGTGAATTTTTGATGTAAGCAGTCATGCTTATGATTTGGATTATAATGGATTGGGTATATAGGCGAGGAGTTTGGGTATGTCTACTGATATATGATTGGATAAACGGATAAACAGGCGTTTATAACAAAATGGTTATGATTCTTTTGTTACAATCTTAATCACATCACGTTTACTGTTTGAAGGTAATTTCTGGGCTTGTGATGGATTATCTTTGAGCTTCATTCTCTCACGTGAGCACTCATTGAGTTTGTGTTGAGTTTATGATGTGCGGTCGACTGGTTGTTTCTTTTGGTAGCCTTGAATTTCGTATGACACTGATTGGATGATGTCTATTGAATGAATACGCATAATCATCAATTGTCACTGGCATCTCATATGACACCTAATCGAAACCATGTAAAATCTAGACAGGTCTGTTTTGGAATAGGTGCATCGCATAAACTCTGTTTTCGTCAGTTCGTCTAAGCGACAGACGAATGACACAGTGATACAGTAGTGTAGTATCGTGAAGTCGGATTCTGTCGTCATCTCGCCTAGCTTTTGGTGTTTATGTCGGTTTGATGACGCTATGATAATATCACGTGTCAGTCGCCACATTCTCTCCCCAGACTGAACTAACCCCTCACCGTCACCCAATCGGAAACTTGCGAGTCGGCCAAATTTTGGTGATCAAGAAGCTCATAATTGGCTAAACTCGGAACAGTTGCACCTCAATCAGCCGATTGCCTACTTTTGCCTCCACCTTCTTCCCTGGTCTGGTCTCCCTCCTCTTTTTTCTTTTCTACTGCGTAGTGTGATTGATGGTGAGCCTCTTGCTCTGTTCTGCTTTGTCGAGGTCGCGAGAGCTCAGAACCTGATCACTCCATCTTCTACATCTTCCCCACGAAAAAACTCTGACCATATATCTCGTGTGAAATCACTCTCGCGGCCCGACATAGCTGCGAGCTACGCTTGCGTTTCCGTCTTACACTCTGCTTTCTTATCGATTTCCCGGCTCCGCCGCCCGGAGATAAGAAACGACTACGCTTAAGCCGAGGCGCCCGGTTTATTTTTCGTAACCACCAACCTCGTACCCATCAACTTGTTCGAGGATTATACTAGAGCTTGCGGCTCATTGGGATAGGAACTGGGGACTAATAGCTTGACGACTTTGTTCTGAAGCTTATTTTGTACGACTAGAAGGTCATATTGATTGTCAATCGCCCAATTGGACCCTCGTCTTCTTCTCTTTTCTATACAATTCTTTTTCTTAACGAGCAGTATCTGCTCAATTCGCGACAATGGTTCTCACTCACACAACAAACCACACCTACTCCCACCCGTTCCCTACCGTCACTCTCGCCTACTTTCTACGATACTCGTCTCCTCAACTCAATCCCTTCGCCGTCCATGTTCTTAGCACCGACACCATCGAGAACTATGTCGACCCAAAGACTAGCCGACTTCACACCACTCGCATCCACTTGAAAAAGAGTCGAATGCCCGGTGCTGTATACAAGCTACTCCCTGCCAGTGTCACTGGTGGCGGCTCTGGCGATAAGGCCTCATATATTCTGGAAACAAGCGTTGTTGATATCAAGGAGGGCTGGATGAAGACGGAGAGCCGAAACCTCAACTTTACGGGTGTTCTCTCGGTGATCGAGAAGCAAGAGTTTAATGTTCCCAACGAAGGCACTGTCCAGAATCCTAATGAGACTGCTGTGACGACTATGATTCATGTCAGATCGAGACTCGGAGATAAGATTCGGGGCAAGCTGGGTCAAGCTCAAGAGGATGGTTGGTTCAAGAACGGCATCATCGGTAGTTGGGGTACGAAGGGTATTCAGCGCAGCATCGAGAGTATTGCCTCTACCAAGACCCAGGATCAGATGGGCAAAAGCCGCGACGGCATGAAGATGGTTCTCGAGCGTCTGCGCAACAACGGTGTGATTGGCGTCCTCGAGACGATAAGGAGAGAACGTCAGCGTCAACTTGCTTGAGCATCTCTCTCGATACGATTCAACTGTAACAACGAATGGCGACGGCCTTGGAGCAACACGATCTTAAGTGGGAATACCTGGAAACGATTCTCGAGTCGTGCACGCTCAATGTACTATAACTGCTTTTCACACGAGCATGGCGCAATGTGTCTTTTTTGGGTAGGGATATCTGAGGAGGGATTATGAAAACTTGGTGGCTATAAGGCAAGCTGATGGTGCTGGATTCGGCCAGCTGATGGGGGGACGCAACGTGCAGCGACACATCGCCTCTACTTTATGTGGCATCCCCTCTCTTGTATTAAGTATGAAAAGTCTTAGGAGACAAAGAATTAAAGGTCCCAAACATGGCTCATGGCGATCGATCATACCTGCGTGATTGTCCTAACTTTAGGGTATTAGCAGAGTTAGCCGCTCTGTATACAAGAGACAAAATTAGCAGTACTTTATGCTATTTAGACCATACCTCTTAGGCTGTTTAGTTTTGTATCCTAAGACTTGAGAGGTCAACGTTTCTGCCACAACTAGCCTACCTCCAGCATCAAGAGCATCTTATTGGGGGCAAGCAGTCACGTGTACCCCCCTCCCCTGCTTTGCACACATCGATATAAAGGCATTAACTTGACACACGAACTTTCAACGCCGATTTCTCAGCCAAAAAAAAATGCAAAAAGAAAAAAGGCCGAGCTGGGGGTCGAACCCAGAATCTTCTGATTAGAAGTCAGACGCGTTAGCCATTACGCCACAAGGCCTTACAATTGTTGGGACAAGGCGATCTTTTTATAAACTATGTAGCTAGCATGGAACACCCACTCAACGAGTTGGTGCAAGAGCAGCCCAAAATGCATATAGAGTTAAGCAAGTGCGTGCTGGAGTAGAGCAAGATCGGGCGAGACAGTAATAACAGAAAGCACGATCGCCCATAAATCACAACTTCGACTTGGTCATCACAACCTCTCCCTTTCAATACTTCTTTCGGTGGAATTGTACTTGGTTGTTGTTAAATCATCCCCTACTTGTACACTTACACTACCTCCACCATCTATCATGTCTTCAGACGATGGCACAACGGGCCATGAAACTAAGAGAGACAATGTTACAAGCAGAGAGAAGCGTGGACGCCAACAAGATGAGCTTTCCATCGTTTCCGAGGAATTTGACGCCGAAGAGGAGCAGAGGCTAGTGAAGAAACTGGACCTGTTTATTATGCCCATCATGGCAGTTGTTTACTTCTTCCAATGTGACCGTTCCAATATCATGCCCAACTCGAGCTTGACTAATTCAATATCACAGATATCGACAAAAACTCGCTCACCTACACCGCCGTCTTTGGCCTCAGAAACGATCTGAACCTCACAGACAAGGATTATTCTTGGGCGATTTCCGTATTCTACATCGGTCAATTGGCCTCGCAGTATCCGGCCGCTTACATCCTCAGTCGATTCCACATCATACGCTTTATCGGCGCTACAATTATCTCCTGTGGTATTATGGAGATGTGCATAGGAGCATCATACAACTTTGAAGGTCTCGTTACCTGTCGTTTCTTACTAGGACTCGCCCAAGCCGCTGTGTCTCCCGCCTTCGTCATGCTCACGTCAAACTGGTACCGTCAACACGAACATCCCATGCGTGTCGCAACATGGATATCGATGAATGGAATCAGCCAAATGACTGGGGGTCTTCTTATGTATACTCTTGGCGATGTGGAAATGGAGATTCGCAGCTGGAGAGTTGTATTTCTTGTCCTTGGGGCGTTGACTATAGTCTTTGGTGTTGTGTTCGTGGTCATGATGCCCGTGAACATTGCCACCGCCTGGTTTTTGAGTCCGCGGGAGAGAGGGGTTGCTATGAGAAGACTAGCCATGGATCGTACTACATGCGATAAAGCAATCTTTGACTATCAACAGCTGCTTGAATCTCTGTGTTCGCCCTTGTCATGGATGTACTTCTTCATGGCTTACTACATAGCGTCTGCCAATCCTATCGCAAAGGTGACCAACAAATGCCCTCCCCGTTACTGAACTACGCTAATGATGCACGATAGTATTCCTCCATAGTTATCGACAGAGTTGGGTTCTCCAGGTCCGATTCGATGCTCGTTGGGCTTCCCGCTGGTATACTAAACTTCATCACCTCCTGGGTTTCGGCTCTCGTTCCCTGTTTCTTCCCCAACACACGGATATACACAGCTCTTTGCCTCATTCTGATACCCTTGGCCGGCTCTATAATGCTTTTCGTTTTTTCCTCTCAGACTAACGAAACTTATTCTTGGGGCATCGCGGTCTCGACATGGCTGGCAACGTGTTACACTGCGCCACTCTGCTCATGTGCTGGCCTTCTAGCCAGCAATGTCAAGGGAAATACCAAAACGAGTGTTGTTGGTGCTGGGTTCTTTGTTGCATACAGCATTGGGAGCATCATAGCGCCGCTGATGTGGGGGAGTGAGGGCGACACGCGGTATCTCGCCGGGTGTACTTTTACCATTGTCAATTGGTCTTTACTGATGATTACGCTTGTTACATACCTCCTAATTATCAAGACGGAGAATCATGCTCGTGATCGCCAGGCTGCCAATCGACGTCTGAACTCAGAAGTTGGAGGACCAGGTGGAAGGGATGATGATCTGGCAGATGTGTCTGAAGACTAGGATCTCACAGATTCACAAGACAAGAAATTCCGATACAGCACGTAGTGTATCAAAAGATGGTGTACGAGTTGGCTAAGAAGGGAACACAGAGGGTGTCAAATTGGTATACCAAGTATTACAGTGTAGCATTGGTTATAAGTTATCTTTATACTTGCAATAATCATATTGCCAGAACCCAGCTTCATATGATACTGTGAAGGGATTGCATTGCTGCTCGAACCCGTTGTTCTGTCCCGCTCAAGCCATTTGATACACGGCACCGACGGATCCTTCAGTGTCCTCGAAGAATCGGTATAAACCATGATCGCCTTCCTTTTCCTTTTCGCTCAACATTTTACCACCAGCCTTCTCAATAACAGAGCCGATACTGTCAACATCCTCGACATACCAGTAAATGCATACTCCTCCTTTCCCAGGGGTAAAGTTTCCAGTGTGGTCAGGGGCTTTTTGAATGCCGCCCGTCAGGCCAAGGCTTGGGTTAAAGTCGAATTGCATGAGCTGTTCTTTGGGGTACTTGTCGGTGGCCTCCTTAAAAGAGAACTTGAAGACAGTCTTGTAGAATTCCGAGGCTGTAGGCTTTAGTGACGGTTCAGGCATAGTACATGTTGAGACGACTAACCGCGAGTCACGTCTTTGGCAGGGATACCCATCCAGACGGGAGTACCAAAGGCTGGGGGCTTCCAATCAGACATGGTGAATTGCAGTTGAGGATTAAGGGGGAAGTGATAGTAAGTGAAAAGGATGATGATGATTCAACCGGAGGTTATGGAGGCCATGATACTCCTTTTTATAGACCGTTTGTATCGCAATTGGCATCAATCCATGCTCATTCACGGTCCTCGATAGTACTTGGGGCTGTCAGAAATGGAGAGACTTTAGGCCGGTGGCTTGAGTCAAGTCACGATGCCGACACGTTTCGAGCAATGAGAACGCGTTTGGACAGCCATCTTGGCAGGGATGTTGTACGCCAGCTGAGCACGAGAGCACGTGTCGAGAAAGGATGTGAAGCTTCAGATAGAATAAGTTAGCGATATACCTACTATACTACACTAGTAGGCCGGCTATTGGACTATTTAATATTCGTGTCTTACGTTCATGTCGTCCTATTCCCTAACTTGGAGAAGATTACATCTGGGCTATTCAAGATCATGATATTCTGGCAATAGCAAGGATACAGGTTGTTGAATGAAACAACCCGGGGAGATGGTGCTGCACGCTAGGTGTTGTAGTTTGGTTCTGCTATACCAAGCTTGTCTATATCACCGTTTCTAAAGCTAGAGCGTAGCTGTCCAACACTGTGACATGACTCCGTACCCCTCCAACTATCCACTCCGAGGCTTGGAATTTCAAGATGGCGGGGCAGATTAGATTATGCGCATCGGGCCGGGCACGTCATTGCGACCGACCATCGATATCTCGGTTCTTTCTTACAGCCTTTTCCCTCCTATTTAACTTGGGATCCTTTACGAAATCATATCTACTTCAACTGATTTATTGTATCGCCACTATAACACAGCACTACAATAACAACAAAATGCCTGACCAAATATCCGTCCTCTTTGTGTGTCTGGGCAACATCTGTCGCTCGCCCATGGCCGAAGGTATCTTTCAGAACCTCGCTAAGCAGCCGAATCTCAAAGACAAGATTGGGCGCATCGACTCTTGCGGCACGGGTACGAATATCTTCTCGCTGATAAAGTCTCAATCGCTAACTCTTCCATCGTAGCTGCTTACCACAGCGGCGAACCGCCGGATGATCGAACCATGGCTACACTAGAGGCCAACGGTATAGACGATTATGACCATCTCGCGCGGCGCGTACGTTTCCCATCAACCCATAACACATTACTGCTGACGCGACTTCTAGTTCCACCCGAGCGATTTCACAACTTTCGACTACATCTTTGCAATGGATCGATCAAACCTCTCAGACCTTCTCCGACTACAGAAGAACAACCCGGACTCCACTGCCAAGGTGATGCTGTTCGGAGAGTTTAGCGGCACAAAGCGACCCGAGATTGTTAATGACCCTTACTATGGAGGAAACGACGGATTCTCCAAGGCCTACGAGCAGTGCACGCGATTCTCCAAGAACTTTGTAAAGGAGACTTTTGGAGAAGAGTAAAAACCAGGATTAGCGGATAGAGAGACAAGGATATATAATACCCGATGCCTGTATAACATACAGAGGTCAAGGAATAAGGTTGGACAGGGTAGACTAGATTAGATTTATTGACATTTTGATCAGATTCGAATGATAATTGGCTGCATGTTACCAGCATGACGGTTCGATTAATTTAGAGATTAATTGTTTATATTAATATTTGTCGATCCCACGTCTTGTCTCATTCTGGCTCCTCGGTTCGCCGACACCAGAACCTAATCAGGGCCCGACCAACAAAGAGCGGCCAGAGTCAATTCACCAGCAACATTTCTGATGTGTCGGGTCCCACTTGGCAAGCTTCAGCCCTATGCTTCGATAATGCAGCGGTCTTATTAGTGGCTGGCCTCGATCTCGGATGAGAGATAGACATCGTCATATAATCAACTGTTGATACTGATTCTTACATGTTGCGTAGTTATGCATCGGTGATGCCGAAGCCAGACAAGACAGTTGATGTATTAGTGGAGGCTTTGCGTAAGGCGGATCTTTGAGATGCTGTAAGATTGGATGAGATGCTGACCATCTTTTTTACATTAGAAACTCAGCCCCAATATCGTTATCGTGGCTTGGGACTGGTAGGTGAGATCCAATACCCACGACATCATTATACGGACCTAGACAAACTCTCGTGGAAAAGCGGCGCAAGCCTTAAAATCACCAATTTGACTTTGTACCCTCTGAGCGTTCAACACGAGGAATTTCCCCTTTTTTACACAAGATGAAGCCGAGCCGTTGCATGCATTATTGCAACTTTGAAGCATGGGTCGTTGTCGCGCGGCTATCGATGTTGAAACACTGATTGGTTAGAGACCCTGACGAGCTAGAGCCGAACAAATCAACCACTTCACCAGGCGGTGACTTGTGTTCCTGCGGGGTCCCTAAGTTCTGTTGTTTAGCGGCTTCGGGCCACTGTGGATCGTTCTGACAGCCCTGGAAGTCCCCATGGCGTAGTAAACCCCGGGTCAGGTCTATCCAATCCAGTGGCAGATGGCGAAGCAGAAGAGCTGAGGGGAGCTCTTTTTACATGGACCCAGTCCCCCTCGCTTGACCCAACCAACCTAAGACAAGAACCAACCAGCTGTTGTCTTGTCTGTCAGGTACCTACATCCATACATATATCCTTAGAGAGACGCGCATTCTTTGTCTTTGTTCTTCTCACTACATTGCTTCTGTTTCATCTTCATATTCCTCTTACCTTGACTTACCTACAACCTTTTGCATCTAAAGCGACGTTTCTACCCGCAAACCTTGTCGCATTCGAGCTTCTATTGCCCCGCACCATATACCACCACGAATACACCATGGGCGACCTACAAGGACGCAAGGTCTTCAAGGTCTTCAACCAAGACTTTGTCGTTGACGAGCGCTACACTGTCACCAAGGAGCTCGGTCAGGGAGCTTACGGTATCGTCTGGTGAGTTTGCGCATCTCGTTGCTCGTGGCACTCCTGAATCTTTATACTACGACTCGAAACTCTTGTCTCGTCTTCTACCCCGCCGCAGCTGCTGACGATAGCCCCGCCTCCCAGTGCCGCCGTTAACAACCAAACCAACGAGGGCGTAGCCATCAAGAAGGTCACCAATGTTTTTAGCAAGAAGATTCTGGCCAAGCGCGCTCTGCGCGAGATCAAGCTACTCCAGCACTTCCGCGGCCACCGCAACGTGAGTTTCTGCCTCGGCGCAACACCCAAAGGACGCGTATGCTGATATCTTGAACCACCAGATCACATGTTTGTACGACATGGACATTCCTCGACCCGATAACTTCAACGAGACCTACTTGTACGAGGGTCAGTGACGATACCTGCCCGAAAGAGAAGAAATATGAACCGTAAACTAACACGGCATAGAGCTGATGGAGTGCGATTTGGCTGCCATCATCCGTTCTGGCCAGCCTCTTACCGACGCCCACTTCCAATCCTTTATCTACCAGATCCTTTGCGGTCTCAAGTACATCCACTCCGCCAACGTTCTGCACCGAGATCTCAAGCCCGGAAACCTGCTTGTCAATGCCGACTGCGAGCTCAAGATTTGCGATTTTGGTCTTGCCCGAGGTTTCTCAGTCGACCCTGAAGAGAATGCTGGATACATGACCGAGTATGTCGCTACTCGATGGTACCGTGCCCCTGAGATTATGTTGAGCTTCCAGAGCTACACCAAAGCGAGTACGTTTGAACGAAAACCACTAGCTGTGAGATGGCTTACTGACTTGATATAGTTGATGTTTGGTCTGTTGGTTGTATTCTGGCTGAGCTGTTGGGCGGCCGTCCTTTCTTCAAGGGTCGTGACTACGTCGACCAGCTGAACCAGATTCTTCACATTCTCGGAACTCCCAACGAGGAGACACTCTCCCGCATCGGCTCACCCCGTGCCCAGGAATACGTCCGCAACCTGCCTTTCATGCCTAAGAAGCCTTTCCCCAGCCTGTTTCCCCAGGCCAACCCCGACGCTCTCGACCTTCTCGACAAGATGCTCGCCTTCGACCCTTCGTCCCGTATCAGCGTAGAGCAGGCCCTCGAGCACCCTTACCTGCAAATCTGGCATGACGCCTCGGACGAGCCCGACTGCCCCACCACATTCAACTTCGACTTTGAGGTTGTTGAGGACGTTGGTCAGATGCGTGGTATGATTCTGGATGAGGTTCAACGATTCCGACAGAACGTCCGCACCGTGCCTGGTCAAAGCGGCGGAGGTCTTCAGGGCCAGGGTGTTCCTGTTCCTCTGCCTCAAGGCAACGGTCAATGGACTGCTGAGGACCCTCGACCACAGGAGTATGCTGGTCACGGTAACACCGGACTTGAGCAAGATCTTCAGGGAGGCCTGGATGCTTCTCGAAGATAAAAGCTGCCAAGCAAAGTATAAGAGTCGAAAATTGGATATATCCTAGAGGGGGATTAAGGACGGCATGCTTTCTGGATCAAAATGAAAGATACATTCAAGGCACAGGAAATACGGATGAGTCTTGGGTATTCATGGATTTAATGCCTGGAATAAGAAGAGAAGGGTGAACAAAGAAGGCTTTTTGGCTTCAGCAGGCTAAGGGAGTATGCCCTTATATGCGTTGAGAGGGTAGTGAAGCGTTTCCCTCTTCATTTCCATCATCTGTTTTTCCGAATGAGAAACGATATCAATATTATATTTCTTTATTTGTTACAAATGTTCATTTTATATTCCACCATGTGAAACTGAAGATCAAAGCAACAGCGACGATCTTGGTGAGTGTCTTTCACTAAAGATGACAGATGAGCACTTGTCATTTTAGCGTAGGACTCGCATAATTACAATAAGATGAAGCTGTTTTGTATCTTTGTGAAGACACATTAATTTAGCTACGAAGACATCACTCATGTGCGGAAAAGATTATAAAGCCATTGTTTCATTCATGATATGGCAAGTAGATACATGTGGCTTGACGTAAAATCACCCCTTGATCTTGTGCCATATCCTTTGGCAGTCCTTCATCGGATTTTAGTTTCATCCCTTTCCTTAGGGGAAGCTATTGCCAGACTTGGGGTTCACATTGCTGTTGGGAGATTGTTGTTAAACTCCACTGTTAAGCCCCTTGTTGAAAGAAGTCGTTGGCCATGCTTCGTTGCTTGCATTCCAAAAACCAAGTCGCTCATTCAGCATGAGTGCTGGGCGCATGTATCGAGACCCATATGTCGCGGCCAGGGTTGAACCGTTTAGTCGACATAGTGACCGAAGATGGGACGGTCATCATCAAAGCTGTCCTCTTCATCCTCGTCGGAAGAGGAAGACTCAGTGTCCTCTTCAGGGCCGGAGTCCTCTTCCTGGGTACCAACCTCGCTGCCGAATCCGACCTGATTGCCACGAGTATCGCCGAGAATGGACTCGAGCTGGTGTCGCAGCTCAGAGTTGCGCTTGCGCTTCTCAAGTCGACGACGGCGGAGAATGTCGTGGCAGTACATGTTCAAAACATTCTGGACAGTTCCGATACGGCGGGGCTCCCAACACATGGCGGCACGAGCGGCGATGTGCCAAAGTTGAAAGGCCTGGTAGTACTGCATTTCGCTCTCGTCATTGTTCTCAAGGATGTTTTCCTTTTCGTCAGAGGTCTTGTAGAACTCCTCGACGGTTTCGCCACACTGGCGCAGGGCCAAAAGGGGTGCGACTCCGAGAGCAGTGGCCTTGAATTCGGGCAGCTCGATGAGATTCTCCTGGGTGAGCTCATCGAACATGGCAGTGAAGACTTCCTTCTCCTTGGCAGCGCGCTCAACGCGGTCGCGGTGATCCTGCACTAGAACGTCGGTGACGTAGATCCCCTTATTGACCTGATCGTGGTTGGCAACCTTGTAGTCCTCGGCGTACTAGGCAGCGAGGGCATTGTCGAGCTGGTTGCGGATGACCTTGACGTGCATGCGGTAAAGCACAGTGTCGCGGATGGTGGTGAGCCAGGTGGTCTGATCGAAAGGACCGGGGTCATCACCAGGGATCTTAGGAGTATGGTTGTAGACCAGGTGAAGGTCCCAGATGCGGTGGAGAACGCGGAGAGCAGTCTCGCCGTACTTGATGACGATGATCTTGGAAAGACCGTGGAGAGTCGCGGTGTCGTTCTCCTGCCAGTGGAGGATCTCGGCGCAGAGAGCATCGACACGGATCTTCAGACCACGGTTGTCGAGCTCATCAATGTCGCGAAGCTCATCATAGAGACGAGTGTGACGACGAGTGGAGTGAGGGACGGTGAGAGGGAAGGGGATAGGGGCTGGACCAAGGTCATTGGCCGCTGCAGCACCCTCACACCAAGGAGGAGTGATGGTGACGAGTTTCTTGGGAAGGTCAGGAGGAGGCGCCATTGTTGGATGGATGATTTGGATGTGGCTTTGTGATGCCGAGTGTCAAGTGAGAGCGTGCAGAATGGGACACTTATGAGTGAAGTGCGTCAGGCTGAAGAACCAGAAGTGAAGTTGAGCGAGGGTTCGTCCTTTATGTAGTCGAGCAGTAAACAATACAAACTAAGTGAGTGAGTATTCAAAGTGAATCAAAACCTGCATCCAATGAATTACGTTGCCGTCAAACGTGATTCTGAAAGTCTTTCCAGTGCTATTCAGAGTGATGTTTGTATCGTGAGCTGGAACAATGAGAAAGGCGGGGTCGTAAACGGGTCAAATGACCAAAAACCACACATTGAGACGAACAGATAAGAAAGGCACAAAAGGGTATCATTCAACGTTTGTCTAAAGTCTGAAGCAAGTGACAATCTTCCATCTCTCTCATCGCGCGTTTGTTGTTTTATGTTGGGAGTGCATCGTGATAGGACCTGGTATTTGGTCCTGGGGAGCGTTGGTCGAGAGATTCGAAGCTGGTAAAAGTGACAGTCTCTCCATTCTGATCATGGCGACCTTACCACTGTTTCAGGTGGGTCGTTAATCGAGAACTGGTCCTCGATTATCTTTTGAATCACAGAAACCGTCAAGGACTCCCTTGGTAAGGCCCAGCCAGCTCTTACTGTCGGAGCATACCGAGCTTCTTTCCCAACTCCTGCTTTGCGATGCATATGCTTCCCATCCAATATGTTCATGACGCTGGAGGCTGAGGATTGTTTCCCACAGTCTTGTACATATCCCTCAACTCAAACTCCTCATGTCCCCCCTCAGGAATCTCCCCAATGACCTTGGCCGGCTGGCCTGCAACAATGGAGAAGCTAGGAATGACCATATTGGGCGGCACGACAGTCCCGTCGAGAACCTGAACGTAGTCCTTGAGAATGGCAAACTCGCCGATAGTGCACCCCTTTCCGATCTGCACATGGTTTCCCACCGCCGCAGCCTGGACGACAGTCCCCTGGCCAACAAATACGTGGTCTCCTATGCGCAGCGGCATGTATGTAAAGGCGCCCTTGTACATGCGGCCTGGTGGACGCAGTAGGACGCCCCGTGCGAGGAAGCAGTATCGACCTATCGCGACGGCAGTGTTGTTGGCTGGGGTGCTTCCAGACGAAGATGCGGTGACGGTACGAGCGAGATCGCCTCTGATCATGACTTCGGGTTGGATGACGGTTTTGCCGCCGAGCATAATGTTTTGGGTTCCGACGAGGACGGCTTTACGTGCGACTTTGTTACCAGTGTCCTGTAACAGTGTGAGTATGAGTATAGGGGACAGAAGAGGACATGCTTACGGTCTCGATATACTCGCCTTTGGGTTGTCGGCGAGACATGATGAATGAAGATGCCGGAGAGGCTACGGCCGGGGCGGAGAATGGAAATGGAGACGGACGGAGACGGAGGAGGAAGAAGAGAGTCGGAGTGTCGGTCATGTTTTGGTGGTCGCTTAGGCCGATGATCATGGCATGTGGGGCCGCATTAAGCGGATACAACCTCAATTCGAGAGGTACAGGAAATTAATAGGGCCTCAAATACATGCAATAAAGACATTGCATTGCATGTTGACAAAGTTTGTTAACTATGATATCATCTACTAGAATAGATACAGACTGTTGGAAACCCATTGACTTTGTCTGGCACAACAAGCAGTTGGTGTTGGTGTTGGATATCTGCCTTACAAGCGTCTAAATCACCAACAACTGGAGTCGCATAACCAACAGAGGAATTGATGGTAATCAAGAAAGCCTTGCTAAGCCTTATGGAAATTTGGTATGGCCAACATGAATTGACCTTGTCAAGCGCAATTATAACCAACAACTGGACGTCCAACAACCAACAACTGCCAAGCTTGATCCTTCAACACACCTGGCCCAATTCGCAGTAACAAACAAATTCGTAACTAAACCATGTCGAGCACGGAGTATGCAAACATGCAATTTAATGTGTCACAAACCCCTTCGGCTGAAAGGAATATATTTAATCTCTTGTCCTACACCCACCCAACCTCGTGCAAGCCAACTCAAGAGTGGAATAGCCCAATGATACTCTGACGGGTTTTCAGTGTACCGTAAGCTAAGAAAAGGGAACTAAATTAACGAAAATCCTTTAAACCGAACTAGAGACTTGAAACTAAACTATAATGAGGGTTCATCAAAGTCTGGAAGAATTAAAAGAGAAGGTCAGTTTTTCCGTGCCGCAAGCCGATTGCAACGGTCGCAGGGGACATGTTTTGTAAAGGTTGCAAGATGCGCGAGATTGAACCAACCAGAGATGTAGAAGCGTTTAAAAGCGTGTAATTTCTTTATTCTTTTTGTCTGTCTTCATTACAATCTAAACTCGTGCTCAATATTAAATTTAATAAAAAATGCAATAAAAGAGAAAGAGATAAATGCAGTGGAAATGAAAAAACAGTGATTCGGTTGTTTCGTCTGCAGTAGCGTTGTTTAAACCAGCTGAAACTTGCCCTGACAAGGGACATGACAAGGTTTTGCAATGTTTGAGATAAACTCTTTTCCAGTATTGCTTTTGCTGTATAGAATGATTATATATGCGCCTCTTTTTCAGGTGAGAGTGACAGTACATACAGTATATGTAAGAGATTACGGATAGTTGTCTTGGTCTCCAGTCTGAGAGCCAGCTCAGATATCAGATTCTGTTTGTTTCCCGTTGCTTGGCTCTTACGATTGTTGCACACGCACGGGAAGAGAAATCACATAAGCAGATTACCTACCAAGAAAAGAATATCGTGGCCGTGTTTTGTTGGATCTATTATTGACCGCGTATCTAGGATCTTGGTCTTGGTATTGAGGGGCGCAGGGCGGGAGTTGCTGGGTCCGATAATCTGCCAAGGGATACAGTAGAGAAAAGTAAAGTACCTACTCTTCTGAGAAAAAAAAGTTCAGATGATGATGTACGGGTTAGTTATAGTGTTTCATCGCTATGATCCTCTTAAGAACATGGGACTATGATAAAACAAAACGGTGAGACACTAAACAATTAACCAATTCAACCATCAATTTAGCCATTTCTCTTTCTTTCCTTCAAGTAACAAGATAGAACACTCAGTTAAGTAAGAAAGAAAAAAGAGAAAAAGAGAAAGCTCTGCTTATGACAACTCAACAAGTAACCAAACTATGCCCTATGTGCCTATATCAATTCATCCCTGTAAATACTCTCGCGCTAGGGTCGCCTCTCAACGCGGCCGCCCGTCCACCGCACGAGGCGTCCATGTCGCTTGTCCATTTTCTCTCTCCGCTTACAAGGGGGTCCCGCGTTTCGAGGCCTAGTCCTTGCCTGCACATCGCTCAACTTGACAGGGAATACTTGAGAAGAGAGAGGCAGAGAAAACAGAAACAGAAACAGAGAACCGAGGTGTTTTGTGTTTCTGTTAGGTCTTGATTACGGAATCTACTCAACCTTGTCTGGGGAAAGGACAAGGCGCAGTTAGTTGTCGATGTTTTATATAAACTCATCCATCCATCCTCCCTTTTCTTTTTCAACAACAACAACTCACATTCAGTCTCTACAACTCTTCTCTTTTCTCCTCATCTATTCATAGCTTTTGTCTCTTACTCTCTCTAATAAAAGAGTCCCCGCTTCTATTCCTGCACAACACCCACACCACCACCACCACCCACACACCAAAAGAACGCATCCATAGTTAAGCGCCCAGGTGGAAACGCCTCTCTCGTCCATTCGGTCCACTCAGAATCTTTGGCCCCCCCTTGCTTGCGTTTATTATTAGCATTGCCGCCCTTGTGCTTCTTGTTGCCGCGACCTGTATAACAAGACCGCGCTCTTCCGCCCAAAAGCATTCATTCCTCTGTGTGCTTCTTTATCACATTGCATCTTCTGGTTCTCTATTAGCTGCTTAGTGGTTCTTTTAAGTTTCAAAATTCAGGAGATCAACACCATCTTCTTTTACTAAAAGGTCCGGCGTCTCAGATCTTGTATACTTTGATCCCAATTAAGCAAGCAACCATCAACATGCTCGCCAACCCCCTTTTCGTCCTCGCCTCTGCGGCTTTGGCTTTGGCTTCACCTCTCAAGACCTACGGTCCTGGTTCTAGCTGCAAGCCTGGAAAGCCTATGCCTGTCCTTCCTGTCAATGGTGGTCGTAAGTCACTCTTACACTTATACGCATAAGCCTCAGTCTCACTAACATGCCACAACACAGCCACTGAACTTCCTTCTCCTCCTCAAGGCGCAACTCTAAAGCATATCGCCCTTGGTTTCGGTATTCAGAACTACACCTGTGCCGACGCTGCTGCCACACCCGCAGCTCAAGGCGCTCTGGCTGTCCTCTACGATGTCACTCACCTCTACCCGGGTCAAGGCCCTGCATCTCTTAACCAAGACAAGTGGGCTGCTCTCACATCCAACGTTCTTAACACGGGCAAGATCCCTCTGAACCTCAACGACAACGGCGTCGGAGCCTCCCTCACCAACCCCTTTCCCAAGAAGTCATCTTTCAAGCTTGAAGGTCAACCCAAGAACTTGCCTTACCTTGGCCACCACTTCTTCAACGCTGCCGGTGTTCCTACTTTTGACCTCGACGCTGCTAACCAGCTCCTCCTCTGCAAGAAGCTCGATGGAATCAAGGCTCCTGCTTCTGCCCCTGCTGGTCCTGAAGGAACTGGTGCTGTTGACTGGCTCTACCTTGGTGACGCCGGTGGCAGCATTGGAGTCTCATACGTCTACCGTGTCTTGACTGCTGGTGGTGCTTCTCACGGCTGCAAGGCAAAGGGTGTTGACAGCACCTCTTACACAACCCTCTACTGGTTCTACGGTTAAATCTCCTATGAGCCATGGACAAACTTCTTTTTCACGAATTTCTTTTCTTAATTACATATTTTCTTCTCTTCTCGATAGAACGGCGGTTTATCGGAGTTTATACAAAAGGTCACAATCGTTATTAAATTACATACAAGGGACAGTTATACGTTTCACGACGATCGTTATTGGCACAATCTGGGTCTTTGCAGAGATACCACGGTTTATGAGTGTGAATGGATCACACTCCAAGGGACGTTTTGGGACTTACTTCTTGGCGTTTATTTTGGTTGATCTATTTGTTATTTGGATGGCACCTTCGTCGTAGCCAATTGACGATGGATGAGGAGGACATGTAGATAGTTACATTGAATGAAAGTGGATTCAAACGATACGATACTGGACCTATATGTGAATTATAATAAGGCTGCCATCGCTAATGGGACTTCAAGTTTGTTCCCACACAAAGAATACTCCACGATCTATCACCACAAACAAGCAAGACAATAGATACGTAACTCAAGCTGCCTCCTTTCCCACCTCATGCTTCTCATGCTCCAAGCTTTGTCTTTCACAAGCAATAGTCGCATCTTTCAAATACTTGTGAGTCCTCCAAGTCAAAGCAGCACACCATATAGCCATGGCGATACTACAAGCAATCATTGCCCACATTCCTCGCTAATCACAAGTTAGTATGTTTTAATGCGAGCCGTGTTTGCAGGAAACGGAAACTTACGATAAACCAGGGCGCCATCGAAGCACCGTAAAAGACTATACTCCACCAGGCATTAATGACATTACTGCCTGTGTTCATTCCAGCAAGGACGATACCACGGAACATGGCTGACTCATGTCGCATGACATCGTTGCACCAAGCAAAGAAAGTAGCCTGGCACGCGTAAACGGATCCAGCCCAGTAATAAGCTGCAAACACAACAGTAGTCGACGCAGGGTTCGTCGGGTCTCTAGAAGCGACAAGTACCATGATGGACGTGGCAATGCCTGTGATGCCGATGAAGTATCCGACAAGATATCGCTTTCCAGACAGGAAGTCCGTCAATGTTGCCCAGAACAGGGTAGACACGATGCCGATTGCGGGAACGCCGCTGGGGTAATTGTTCTTCTGCGCGACGGTGTATTCGTTGGTCGGGTGGTTTTGGAGGAATAAGGCGAAGAGCGCATTAGTACTGAAGGACTCGGTCTCGCCAGCAATGATCCAAAGGATAACGAATCCCCACCAGAACCACGAGGTGAGAACCATCTTTCCGTAGCCAAAGGTGAGACGGGGACGTTCTTCAGCTGGGGGAACTCTAGAGATGGCGAGAGCTCGCTCTTCTTCGGAAAGGTAAAAGGCGGTAGTTGTGTGCGGCGTGTCAGGAAACAAGAAGTAGCCATAGATGGCAACGGGAATAGTGATGAGACCATCAATGATAAACAGCCACCTCCAACCGCTCAGTCCATGGTTGCCATCCATGCTCGAGTGAATACCAGTTTGGATGAAACCTCCAATCATGGTACCAGCCAAGCCAGAAGCTGTAAAGATTCCACTTCTCTTGCCCAGCTCCCGCTCCGTGTACCATGATCCGAGGATGTAGTGCGTGCCGACAAAAGTAGATGCTTCACAGATGCCCTGGAAGAAGCGAATGGCCATGATGGACTTGGGGCTCTGGACAGAGGCGGTGACCATTGTGAGACCGCCCCAGAGAACCATCATGAGAGGGAACCAGATGCGAGGTTTGATGTATTGCAGAGAGAGGTTGGAAGGGACCTGGCCTATGACATATCTGTGCGTGTTAGTATGTGAGCTTTGGTGAGAAATGGATGGACAGCAACGTACCCGACTGTAAAACAGGTAAAGATCTGGTTCAATTGATCACCCTCGAACCCAAGGTCCTCTTTCATACCAGAAACGTAGGCATTGTTGATGTTGTTTCTATCAAGCTACCAACAAATCAGTATCATGATTCTTTTGAAGGTCAGAGAGAGGGGACTCACATAGTTGACGAAATAACTCAGACAACAAAAAGTCAAGATGAAAAAGTCAATCTTCTGGACCAGACGTCTCTCGCCTGGCTTATAGTCCACATGCAAATACGCCTGCAATTTTGACAACATTGCGAATGACTGGTGGCGATGGATGAAGATGGAGATGGACGCAATGAGTAAATGAGAGGCGCTATGGGACTACTTATACATATCCCATGTATGCAGGCATAGGCGCTGAAGATCTTTGTAGTAGTCGGGGGTTGGTTGTATGTCACCAATTGAGATAGCCACCCTTGATTCATTCACTCATTGTACTAGTCACATTCTCTCAATCAGCTCGAGTTCCCTTTCGTAAGTATCAGCGGGTTTAAACTCACATTGCAGGGGGAAATAAAGTAATTGATAGAAGGTCTATCCGATACCGCGGTTTAGAGAAGTTTTTAGGTGGAGTTATCTGCCGAACGATAAGCCATCAATTTGCGGGGAAGCGATCGGCTAACTCAGCAGGTGATAGTGAAAGATGGCCGCTATAAAAGAGTCACGCGAGATAGGTATACTTAGGAGTCTCTTATTGATTGATTCATTACTCTTTTGGGAAACCAATCTATCGGATGCAGATAACAATCGCAGTATCCTTGTTTCTTCCCCATGTTTTAATGCTGCGATATGGATAAACCACGAACGATATCTGATAGGTAACTAAACCTGTACCCCGGAAACTGCCAAGTCCTGTATACAATTGTTTCCAGATACGGACTTACTATACGATGGTACTCGGTATGATTGTGTTATTGACCGATGCTACCAGACTCGTCAGACTCCAGAGAGGGGGTGAATGATAGATGCTACATGACAGTCTGGTACTCGATAAGACTAATATTTCCCTTTCCAACGCAACATCAACAACTCTCCTCATCCGGAAAGTAATCAACCACTAGTCTCAAGTCCGTTATATCCGTGTCGATAGTAGCCCAAATAGGAAAGATATCTATTATATCACGACTCTCGTCGTTGCGACATTGATTTCGTGATCAGTCCAGCTTTGGATTTAAGCCACCGTTGATTCCTCTTGGCTTTCAACAAACACATCGCACTATAGACATACAAGGGCCTTTCATCATGACTCTCACTACTACCACAACTACCACCACAGCCAAGCTCGACACTACTCCTTCATGGAAGGACATTAGCGTCAAAAAGACCGAGGCTCTCAACTCTTCTATTCCCCAAGAATGGCGTATCCCTCAAGATCTTCTTCCTCCAGCAGACCAAGCAGATGTCACAGAATGGCCAGAGACATCATCATGGTTCACAAAGGATGAACTCGCTATTACATCTCTGACTGCCACTGAACTCATTCAGAAACTCGCTTCTGGCACCTTCAAGTCTGAAGATGTAACCAGGGCATTCTGCAAGAGAGCTGCAGCTGCTCACCAACTTGTACTTCACTCGCCCATCCCACTCCCTCATTAACTAACAACTTGCAGACCAACTGCCTAGCAGAGACTTGCTTTGGCCGCGCCATCCAAACAGCACGTCAACTTGACGAGCACTTTGCCAAAACAAACACACCCGTTGGACCTCTCCACGGTCTTCCCATCTCCCTCAAAGACAACTTCAACCTTCAAGGTCTCGATGCAACCGTTGGTTTCACAGGCCATGTCGGCGACCCTGCCGAGTCCGACTCTGGCCTTGCAACGCTGCTTCAAAATGCCGGCGCCGTCTTTTACGTCAAGACGAATGTCCCCACAGCCATGATGATTGCGGAGTCCATCAACAACACCTTTGGACGAACTGTGAATCCCAAGAACAGAAATACTACCAGTGGTGGAAGCTCTGGCGGCGAGTCGGCGCTTATTGCCTTTAAGGGCAGTCCCTTGGGTGTTGGAACTGATATAGGTACTTCCAAACTCCATCACAACACTGAACTACATGCTAACAACTGTCAATAGGAGGATCACTTCGTATTCCTGCTGCTTGCACTGGTCTCTTCACCATCCGTCCTTCAGCAGGCCGTTTCCCCGTTCGAAACTGCCGCTCAGGAATGCCCGGCCAAGAAGCAGTCCAATCTGTCAACGGCCCTCTCGCCCGAACCATCCAAGACATTCAATTCTACAGCAAAGCCGTGATTGACGCACAACCCTGGCTCGCCGATCCTAAATGTGTCCCCATCCCCTGGCGACCAGCCCAACTGCCCGACAAGCTCAAGATAGCATTCATGTGGCACGACGGCCTTGTCCTTCCAACACCGCCCGTCACTCGAGCCCTCCGAGTCGCAAAGGAGAAGCTGGAAGCCGCTGGACACACCATCATGAAGTGGGATCCCGTTGACCAAAAGGAAGGCTCGGATCTTCTTCAGCGCATGTTTCTAGCGGACGGTGGACAGACGATCCGAAAGGTGCTTGAACGAACGGATGAGCCGTGGAGGCCTGAGATGGACGGTTATAGAACAGCGAGAGACTTGAGTACTTCTGAGATGTGGAAACTTCAACTTGAGCGAACTGCGTTCCAGAACAAGTATTTGGATCGATGGAACAAGGCGGGTATCGATGCTATTGTATGCCCAACGACGCCTTACAGCACTGGAAAGAACGGAACCTTTAAACATGGTATGTCTACCACTCCTTTTCAGATTCGTATACTGACTGTAGAAGTTGCTTATACGGGCGTGTTCAACGTCGTCGACTATTCCGCCGTGTCGTTCCCGACGGGAATCAACGTTGACAAGGGCGTTGATGTGCTTGACTCTTCTTACCAGCCTTTGAGCCCGTTGTGCAAGTCTGTCAACGACGATTGTAAGTACCCTGTCTTGACTTTCGTGATGGTCATGGCTAACTAGTACTCTGCAGACGACGCTGCATTGGTGCACGGTCTACCAGTTAGTCTTCAGATCGTTGCGCGCAGGCTAGAAGAAGAAAAGGTATTGGCCATGGCCGAACTTGTGCATGAAACCATGATCTGAAGGAAGTCAAAGTCCAGATACTACACAGATAGATAAAAGTGACACTTCAGGTTACATACATATGCACATTATGGATCTAGGCGTATATTCAAGTCTTGCAGAAAGGTTGACCTTCCAAGCTTTAGACTACAAAAATAAATAGTCTAAGAAGTATAGCCTAAGTAGCATAAGCTAGCCTAATAATTTCGTCACTCATACTTCTAGCGGCCAACTTTTCTGGTACCCTGATAATACTGTATTCTCGATCTATTACTAGAGTTAAGACGTCAAGGGTGTTACAAATGTTGGTGTAACGGCGTATTGGGTGGGGAGCTCTGATGTAACGACGTGGGGCAATGCCTTACCGCGGGGCACATCTAAGGAACGACATTCGAACTCATGAGAGTAACCCTCTTCTCTACAACGTGCAGACTCATTCTCATTATATACCCCCGTATTCAAAAATGGAGAACCAAGTTGAGAGACTCGTCGAAAAGGCGTGGAAGAAGTATGAAGAGACGCCAAAGGATAAGCGACTATGTAAGTACCCTCATGACATTTCACCGAAGATTGCTATCATGAGAGTTGCCGTAAACAACATCTCAAGTTAAGATCTCCAAAACCAATAGCGCTGTTCATTAGAAGTATTGAAAGTCATGGCTGACACTCGTAGTGATTGGCGTTGCGGGTATCCCAGGTTCAGGTAAGTCAACCACTTGACATATAAAACAAGATACTGACTCTCCAAGGCAAAACAACATTCTCACAGATCATCACTGATAGAATCAACGCCCGTGCATCGTCTTCTGATTCTTCTTCACCTCCACCAGCAACCTTTGTTCCTATGGATGGCTTTCACCTCACCCGCGCGGCTCTCTCAGCCATGCCCGACCCTGACACCGCCCACTTCCGTCGCGGTGCAGCCTTTACCTTTGATGCCCCCAAGTTCCTCACTCTAGTCCAATCCCTTTCCAAGACACCCATCCCGTCAGAGCCTGTCCTGGCACCGTCCTTTGACCACGCACTGAAGGACCCCCGAGACGATGACATCGTTGTCAAGCCAGAGCATCGTGTCGTTGTGCTCGAGGGAAACTATCTTGCCCTTGATCAAGATGTTTGGCGGGATGCAGCCAAGTTACTGGATGAGGTGTGGTTTGTCGAAGTGGACTTTGAGGTTGCGAGGAGACGGTTGAGGGAAAGGCATGTCAGAGCGGGCATCGTCAAGGATCTGGAGGAGGGTGATCGGAGAGCCATGGAGAACGATCTTGTCAATGGTAAAGAGATCATCGACTTTAGACTCAAGGTGGACGAAGTGATTCAGAGTCGCGAAGATGGAAGCTGGGTACATGAGTAATGGTCTTGTAAATAAATGCTCGTACGTTCCATTGATAAAGATCTGGAATATCCCAGCTAATGCCCCTTTAAACCATCTATTCATAACATCTTCTAAAAACACAAGCTATGCCATAAATAACAAATAAATCCCTACTCCAGCGCTGTAACAAAACCAGCAATGCTCCAAATCGCTCAAACACAGCAGCGCGCTTTGATACACGGAAACTGCATCACGTCTCGTCAGATGTCCTAGATCTTTCAGCGCTCAGCTTCCTGATCTCCTGTGCCATACTGCGTCCCTTGCCCTTTCGAGCTGAAGTTACTGAAGCGCGGTTCGCCTCTCGTCCAGCAGGAGCGGTCTGGTCCAGTCCCAACACCTCAATAAGCTCAGGGATCTCAGCATGATCGCGCGTAGTCTTCATGCGATGACACCACGTAACTCTCTTCTCTTCGTTTCCGTAGTCGTCAGATCCTGGTTCTCGCTCCTGGGCCTCCTCGAATGCGCTGATGGGCTGCGCCTTTTCATTTCGCGGTGTTGTAACAGGCGTGAGGATGTCTCGTGGCTCGAAAAGGAATTCGCCGCCTACTTGACGTTGGTCGCCCATCTTGAGAACGTTGCCGGTGGGGATCTGCTTGACGCCTTGGATTATACTGCCCACAATGCTGTGAGCCATGCTTCGGCGCATATATGCAGGTTTGGCACCCATTTGCAGTGTCTTTGACATGCCGAGGCTGTCGAAAATTGACCTTGTCGGGTCGGTGTACACGGGGAAGCGACATCCTGTCTCGTTGACATACATGTCGATCAGAGCGGGATCGCCACATCCTATGACAGCGATAAAGGTGCTGACCG